GATCTGTGCCTTGCCACAGTTCTGTCTCTGAGCTCTTCAGGCAGTTCCTTTGACCTCGTGATTCTCATTTGCTCTGACATGCACTGTGAGCTGTAAGGTCTTATATAGACAGGTGTGTGGCTTTGCTAATCAAGTCCAATCAGTATAATCAAATACAGCTGGACTCAAATGAAGGTGTAGAACCCTCTCAAGGATGATCAGAAGAAATGGACAGGACCTGAGTTAAATATATGAGTGTCACAGCAAAGGGTCTGAATACTTAGGACCATGTGATATTTCAGTTTTTCTTTTTTAATAAATCTGCAAAAATGTCAACAATTCTGTGTTTTTCTGTCAATATGGGGTGCTGTGTGTACATTAATGAGGGAAAAAAATGAACTTAAATGATTTTAGCAAATGGCTGCAATATAACAAAGAGTGAAAAATTTAAGGGGGTCTGAATACTTTCCGTACCCACTGTATATATTATTCCTTCTACTCAGGGCCGTCCTTAGGGCGGTGCAACTGGGACCCCTCGAACCGCGATCACGAATGGACTGAGGGGGGCCCCGCTCCCTACCTGGCACTGGGCCCCGCGTCAGCTTGAGATGGCCCTAGGGACTCTGTAAAATGCAATTCATACACATGATAACTTGAATAGAACTCTTGCATTATGAACATGTTTTTAATAAAATTTCATGTTGATATTTTTTAGGGGGCATGAAGTGTCCAGATATTATAATTAAGAAAAATGCTTCTTAATTATTGACCAGACCTTGAAGTAATCACCAAACGACCAGTTCCCCAGCATCTCGAAGAAGGTGTGATGGTACACGTCTTTCCCCACATCCTCCAGGTCGTTGTGTTTGCCTCCGGCACGGACACACTTCTGACTGTTCACCACCCGCCGGTACGATACCATCTCACTGCGGGGGTCCGGACAGCCCAGAAGAATAGGCTTAAACTACGGGACAACACAGACCATGATAACCTAATATCAAAACAATTATTATAGAAGACAGTGTCCCTAAAAAGCACTAAAACCTCTCTTAAAAGCAATTTTTTATTCTTTTTTTGAGCTGTAAATAAAAGCTATTTTTTTATTTGTCACATCTATACTAAAAATATTTTGACTATTAAATTATTTGTATTTATCGAGTCTTCAAGATCTACTTCTTTATTTATATAGTTATAGTTTCCAAAGTTTTAAAAAGTTCCACAGTTTTAAATTCTTCAAATATAGGCATTGTTTCAAACCATTTGACTTTATGAACATAATAACGAGCAAATATAATAATTTAATCAAAAATGAATACTAGATTTTAAAGCGCAAACCTTATATTTCTCCCTACTTATACTATGGTACGTGTCCAAAAGCGTAGTAGAACCGTTGTACTTTGACGTGGCTGCTGGATTTTATGTTTGTGTAGTTATCCTACATGTGTGATTGTGGATCGTGTACCTGGTTCATCCCTGCATTGACGAACAGAAGAGTCGGGTCTCCTCTCGGACGCACGGGGGAGGACGGCACAACCCGGTGTTCGAAACCTTCCTTGAAAAAGTCGATAAACTTCCGCCGTACTCTTTTAGATGTGAATTCTTTATGCGATTCTGAGTTAGACAGGGCCGAGCAGCGTCTTATTCCCGCAGATAAAGCACTTAATTTTGTTTTTAAAAGCGCACAGTGGAGCTGTTTCACCAGCCCTATGCGCGCAGCCATCTTGCCGCGTCACAGCGTCAAACAGCAGCATCCAATCAGCGACGAGAATGAAACTGAAACCAAAAAAACATCCACTTCATCTTCAGAGCTGCTGTGAGAGAAAAAAATACCGTCAAATGCACGCTGAAACTAAAACTAACTAACCTTCACGACAAACCGTCAAAATAAAAGAAATTATATGACTGAATATATTACTACTACTACAATGCAATTCTCAAAGTAATAATAATATTATTATTTTTAAGGAATATCATACAACCAAGTTATATTTTATTATTATTCATTTATACAGTTCTGTTGTGCAGCATCATGTCTGATAAAATAAAATAAATACAAATGCAATGTTTTTGTTGTAAATTGATTTTCATTTGATTTATATATATATGTATTGAAGTATATCAAACAAGTAGCCCTTGAGACTATTTTATCCCTTCAGGGAGCCCTCACTCACAAAAAGGTTGGAGACCCCTGTTCTATATTCTTTGCTGAAACTAAAAGAATATATTGAATATATGAAAAATGTAAATATATAAAATCTTTAAAAAAAATTGTGTAATGTGCTGAAACAAATATATGCAACTTATATTAAAAATATATCAAAATATAACATTTAAAATGTATATAAAATATGTATATATGATGTAGTAAACAGGAAATTAGATTTTTAAAGTTACGTTTTTGTAAGCTTTTAAAGCGAATAATACATCAATCTCAATTCATATCTCCTCAGTGTTCAGGCACTCAAACATTTTGGTGTCATACAAATATGAAATAATGAAAAATATTTACTGTGGCCCTATGTCTGCAAATGTATTAATCAACACCACCAACCAAAAAATCAGATCAGTAAATTATATTAAATATTTTACTTTATCAAATATTAATATATATATATATATATATATATAATACATATACATATTTACAGTACCACTCAAAAAATTGGGGTTGGTAAAATGTTTAAATGTATTTGAAAGTGTGAAGCATTATTACCATTTAAAATAACTTTGCTATTTGAGTATATTTAAAATGTATATCAAGATTTACAATGTAAATTATCAGCCATTATTTTCATCTTCAGTGTCCTTCAGAAATCATTCTAATATGCTGATTTTGTGCACAAGAAACATTTCTTATCAATGTTGGAAAATGTTCATGTTTTTGTAATTTTTTTAAAATCCTTTTGACAAATAGAACATTCTAAAAAGAAAAAAAGAACGTATTTGAAATAGAATAGTAAGAATGTAATGCATCCTTGTTGAAACTTCTTGTATTAATTTAAAATGTATATATATTTTTTTTTCATTACTGACCCCAAACTTTTCAACACAGTAGTCCAAGTATGAACTACTTGATTTAAGTAAAGACCAACCCACACGTTCAAGTACATAGTTTATTATTATATCATCACATTTATTACCAGCCGACTACAAAAGTGTAGTAGCTTGTATTGCACTGCTGCATCATGAAATGTTCCTTCCATTGACCCTCATGAGAACATGCAAACAAAAGAGAAAAAGAGCGATTGCACAAGTCATCATGTATCTTTCACTCGATCACTGCTCCCTTTTAACACTGCGAGCGGTTTTGCAATAACTTTACGAGATGTGTTCAGTCACCTAATGATCAAAATATATAGTTATACTTCCTCCCTTAACAATCCTCACTGGCTAATAACAGTCAGCATATTTGCTACAGTAGCGGAGAATACAAAAGTAAATAAAGCATAAGAACAATTAAGGCACTTGGGTTGTTGGGTTTATTCTGTCAAACAGATGTTCCTTCTTTAGACTCTTCGGCTTCCTGTGGACAGAAAAAAAAAAGTCAAGGTTACCGATACATTCCATATGAAATATATGCTAGGCAAAGATTGACAGCCCTACATTTGTGAATGTTTGGAAAGCGTTTATAATGTACCTTGCCATGTAACTGTTCCTGCAGGTTCTTCACAGTCTCGGTCTCTTTGTCCAGCTCTTCCCGAGTGCTTTTCAGGAGCTGTTGAACTTTAGTGGCTGCCTGGCCGAGGTCTCGCGTCAGCTTCTTCTCTTTCTCCAGTCTCTCCTGACATAGACACATGCAAAACATACACTATTCCTGTATATGCTGGTTTAAACTTGAGATTTTGAAGAGGTGTTGTAGGAACCTTTAGTTCTGCAGTTGGTCCTTCTCCAGCAGCTGTCAACTCTTCTAACTGAGCCTCGAGATCCCTGATGCACTTCTGAGCCTGAGTGGAAAAATACATATATAAACACCCTAAGAATTTCAAATTGTGAACAATAGTCTACATAATATTCTAAATAAAACTTCATTAAAAAAAATGTGTATTCAAATTTAATATAATATAAACAAAAAGAAAAAAAAAGAAAAAATCTAATTTAATTCAATTTAAAAAATCAAAATAATTTATTTACTAAAATAAAATGAATGAAATAAAAACAAATTAAAATCAATCAAACAAAAATTAAAAAAAAAATTTTTTTTTTAAACAAAATCAAATTAATTAAATCTCAAATTAAATAAATTAAACATCTAAATAAATGTAAAATTAAAATGAAATTAAATAAAAAAGAAAATAAATTAAAGAAAAAAATAACTTAGAAGCCATAATACTAACAAAAATTATTAAATTAATAAACAAAAAGGAAAAACAACAAAAATTCAGTTCAATTTTAAAAAATTCGAAATAAATTATATATACAATATATATCAAATTATTTAATTTGAAATAAAATCACTTCAAAATAAATTTAATTAAGTGTAAATCTAAATAATTAAAATAAACTCAAATGAAAGGAAATGAATCAAAGTAATATTTAAAAAAATATATAAATGAAATAATTTATTTTTATTTCAAATTTGATTAATTTAGGTCCTTTTGCCAATTTTATTGATCTGGTTTTTGTTTACGGTTATTAGAATCCTTAATATTAAATGTACTAGCTTTTATGTTGTCATCCAGCATGAAGAGATCCAAACAGCCCTCTGAAATGAGTCACCTGTTCATAGTTGTTTGCAACCTGTTGTCGTATGTCCTCTTCTGTCTGCACTTCATTTGTTGCCTCCTCCAGCTGTGTTTTCACCTGTAAAGTTTGACATTGGGGAGTATGAGATGTAAGTTTCAGTCACAGTTACAATACCCTCACACAGCAGGACACAACAGCATATACATGTACACATGGGCGTGTACTTTAATCGCTCAAGACAAAAAAATCATGCCAGAGAGCTGTCTTCATGCCAGGCAGCACATAATACATAAAACATGCTACACCCTCCTTCACCAAAAGACTTTTATGAAAGAAAGAACACAAGATGCACAAAACACACACTGGGAAATGAAAACAGATACAGTTAATACATGCACAACCAGTATTGACCTGAGTAGACTGTGTGCTCTCCTGTTTCTGAACTTGCTGAGACACTTCCTGTAGCTCCTGCCTGACCTGTAACGCACAGCTGTCACTCAAAGTAGAAACCCAAGTGTCCACCTGAGACAAACCCATGTGAAACTTACCAGTAAAAGTTCTGCTCTCTGTTCCTGAGCTTCCACTTTGGCTGATACCAGCTGGACCTGCGTTTCTGATAGCAATGCCTTCAGCTGAGAAGAATATAAAAACAGTCACTTTACCTTCCGTGGGTAAAGACTTCTTACTTAAAACTTAAATTAAATATTATTATTATAATATAAACGACAAAAAGAAAAACAAACAAAGAAAAAAGTAAAAATCTAAATTTAATTCAGTTCAATTAAAAAAAGCTAAATAAAACGGTATAAATTGAGATCAACTGAAAATGAAATAAAATATAAATAGTGCATTTAAAATAAAATCCCTTCAAAATAAACCAAGATCAACCAAAATGGAATTAAATGAAAATGAAATATTAAAATACTACAGTAATTTTAATTTAAACCCAATGGGGTGGGGGGGTCGTTTTACCCGAAACATCTCTTCTGCATACGTTTGACTGATGGTTATGGACTCCAGTTGTTTCTCCAGCTGTGCTTCCAAAAGCATCACCTGCCCCTTCAGCTGCAAAGAATCGAGAAATCATACGTCTCTGTTAGAACACATTTGGAAAACTCACTTGGTTTTAAAGCAACATGAGTCAGAAACCCGATAACAAGTCCCCAAAACTCAAGAACAATGCTAAACGTAAGCATGCACCTGATCCGTGTCTTGTGTTTCAGCATTTATCTTCTCTATCGTCTCCTCTAGAACCTTCAACTGATCCAGGGCCTGTGGGAGATCCATACAACTTAAAGGGATAGTTCACGCAAAAATGGAAATTACCCCATGATTTACTCACCCTCAAGCCATGCTAGATTTAGATGACTTTCTTCTTTCAGATGAATACAGTCGGGAGTTATATAAAAAAAATGTCCTGGCTCTTCTGAGCCTTATCATGGCAGTAAATGGGTGTTATTTATCAAGTCCGAAAAAGTGCATCGATCCATCAGAAAAAGTGCTCCACACAACTCCAAGGGTTTAATAAAGCAAAGCTCTTGAAGCAAATCGATGTGTTTGTGTAAGAAAAATATCCATATATAAAACTTTATAAACCGTAATCTTTAGCTTCCGCTAACTGTCGTACACATGCTCACAAGAGAGTGGCGCTCCAGCAGATGACGTAGGCGTAGCGTAAGCTCTGGTGAGAAGTGACGAATGCGGAAGCGCAAAGGAGAGAGCAAAACAAAACACCGGTCATGAATTAGAAGTACAAAACGAGGATTTGTAAAGAGAAGTGTTGGAGGATTTCGATATAAGCCAAAAGGAGACTGGCTTTCCTTTGCTGTAAACAAAACTTGGTTCTCGTGAGATCAGCATATTCTCACCGGAGCTTACGCTACATCTACTTCATCCGCTGGAACGCCACTCTCTCATGTACATGCATACAACAGTTAGCGGAAGCTAGAGATTACAGTTTATAAAGTTTTAAATATAGATATTTTTTCTTACAATGTATCTATTTGCTTCAGGAGGCATTTATTCAATCCCCGGAGCTGTGTAGAGCACTTTTTATGATGGATGAAT